AAATACCTAGGTATTGAAAAACTTTAAATGAAAGTGAAAAAGTAGGTATGCAACGTCTGTGTCAACCTCCAAAATACATTATTAATGATTACAGAATGTAGTTAATTCAATGTTCAAAATATCGTTAAACCAAACCAGTTAAAAATTCTTTGTAACGCTTTGTATTTTCCTGCTCCAAACTAAATGTATCGCTGTTTAGAATGTAAAATAAACGTGTAAATGTTATTGGGCAGTTTTATTTTGTATGTAGATAGAATAGAACCCGTAATGTGAGTTTTTTTTTTAAATATACAGCGATAAACGAGGGGACAGATCACTTAATGGTAAGCAATCCGCGCTATCCATGAACACCAAAGGCGTTACGAGTGTGTTGCCGGCCTTTTAGGAATTAATGATTGAGAGATTCATACGATGAAACAACTCAAGCGTTGTTTCACGTCGGTTTTCTGTGAGGCCATGGTTTCAATCCAGTCCTACCGACCCATTCGTGCCAAAGCATGGCTCTCCGATATTTAACATAATTAATAATTTTGTTTAAAAACAAATCGTCCATTAATGCTCGATGCACTAATCGAACTCCAGATTACCTTTTTTGTGTTTGTTTCTAAGCACTCGCTTCCCACTGTTCACCAGTTAAGTGATGAGTCTAATCACATCCATTGTATGAAAGTCGTACTTAAATTAGTAAAAGAGCTAAGCAAAGGATAGTAATAATGATAACAAACAACTTTCCCAAAGAAACATATTTCGCTGCGGTAGCGCCATCTCGATTTTACGTCTGCAACTATTTCCACCATTAATTTTAACGCCATCTACCGAGTGTAAGTATATAACACGGCAAAAATTTAATGGTAGTACTCATACACAAAAAGAAACCTAGCTCATATGATGTTAACAATCAATTAACAAAAATCTCAGTTAGTACAGTACCTAAATATGAATGCAGATTTTAATACGTGCATATTTTCATCGAATCGATTGAATCGAATCAGCGGAACGCCCCATGCGAGAGGGTGAAATATCTAACATATTGAGATTTCGCATTGCCGTTTGTTAAGTAGTACACACAACGTAATGCACTTGTCCTATTTGCTATCAAACCTATTAGGGTCTTATTAAAACCTCATTACAAAGTCGAGTACATTAGACACTAAATGCTTCAGTGGCCAGGTAAGGTTATTAATTAAATTCACATTACTAATTGACAAGTTGAAGTATATAAGCTGGACGCGGTGCAGCTATGGACATTGTGTGAACAGCTCCGATACAATACCAACACCAACAATGAAATCCATGGTAAGTTCTTTTTGTCATCATATCAGCTACAAAGGCATCCACTGCTAAACATAGGTCTCCTAAGTTTAGCAGTCACTTACCACCTATGACTTCAAACTCAACCACCTTATCATGATAAAGGCCGCAAGTAGTAACTGGATGCAAGTCGTGGACTATCTAAATCCCTTCACATCCGAAATCTATCCTGATTTATTACCCTAGATTGTTGATTTTATAGACTATTGTCTAATTCTGTACCTATTGTTTCTTCCAACAGATCATTTTCGCAGTTCTGGCCTTCCTGGCGGTCGCCAGCGCCAAGCCTTTCCTCGGTGACTTAGGAGTTGGTCTTGGTGAATTAGGAGCTGGTCTTGGAGCCGGCCTTGGCAACATCGGGGCAGGACTTGGAGCCGGAGTTGAAGGTACACACCAAAATTTGATTTCCATTAATTAACCCAACCTCTTGGAAATGGTGACAATAATATACCACTAATTAAAGCTATGTAGAAACCTTCATCATCATCCTCCCGAGGGTGTCGTCTGTCGATCCATGGTCGTGTTAAGTAAATAAATTCAATGAAATACTTATGATGTTATTTCCAAAATCAAAATATTTAATATTATGTTCTATTCCAGGTATCGGAGCTGGTCTTGGCCTCGGTGGGCATGGTGGCGGTATCGGAGGGCTGGGTGGTATTGCCGGCCTGGGCGGTCGTGGTGGCAGATACTAGGCCTACTTAAAAGACCTCATCAAGAAGTAAAGGAATCGACATTTTGTTTGTAAGACAAATAAATGTTTTGACTGACTACTTCAACATTATTTTTTGTTGTACTGAATATTCCTGCAACGCATTTAACTAATTTGTAATAGATCAGAAAATGGAAAGCTCTCACATTTGCTTTTGAGATCAATTAGACTTTCCAAAAATGGTGGCGAATCAATCGAGGTTTAGGCAAATTATTAGCGGTTCAAACATATTCTGACCACTTTTTAAGATTTTACTTATACATGAACAAATACTAAATAGAACGATTACTTACTAAAACGGTAGCCAATAGATATCCGAAAACACGAAAAATCTATACGTTTACAATAAATCTTTAGAGAGGTCAATTCTGTACATGAAATATATTTCCAAAATATCTATCAGGACCCCTGATTAGTGATCGATACTAAAGTCAAAAATGCAATTAGTAAAATTGTCTTTGTTGTCTGTCTGTCTGCCTGTCTATCTGTCTGTATGTTCCTTATCCAAAAACCACTCGACGGATTTTAACGAAACTTGGTACAATTATTCTTCATACTCCTGTGGAGGTTATAGAATACTTTTCATCCTGCTACAATCAATAAATGCAGAGCAATGAATGTTGGGATAATGGGAGAAGTTAGCGCGTGAATACTAAATCATGCTATAAGGATTATTTTTATGTAACGGCTGAAACTGTTGGGCCGATGGTTGAAATTAGCTTGAACCGATATAAACATAACTTAAATACCTAATGTACTTCATCAATTTGTAACCAAAAAGCTAACAATACCTATTTTGCCCATTGTGTGAAACGAATCTGAAACACTTTACCTACGTGCCAAAACTAATTAAGAAAAGCCCAGACTAAATAAGGTAATCAACCCGTCGTGTGTCTAAACATGGATCCTCGCGAGACACAATGTATTTTCTATTGTGTTCGGTTCATTTAAGCGGTTAATAAAACTGCGGTACTACAGTCTTAGTTGTTAACCTATTAAATGTGAACAAATATTTCGCTATTTTAGACACCTATTTTATGTGGTGGTGCCATCTTGATTTTATTTCTGACACTATTTCCATTCATCAGGTTTCGTCTCGTTCACGTCCGTAGCGCAAATAAAAATGAACCCAATTTCAACGCCATATCTCGGGGGTACCTCCATAATACGTCAAAAATTTAAATTCGATAGGAGAGGAAGTACGCGTACACAAAAGAAACCAGATTCATCTCAATTTAACAATTAACTTATTACAACATAACGTAACATCACGCCTTTTACCCCCGAAGGGGTAGGCAGAGGTGTACATTATGCCACTGTACAATGTAACACCCACTTTTCACTATTAAGTTATGAGTCCCATGTAATAGGGGTGAGCCTATTGTCAATTTACTTATTACTATTTAACTATTACATGAACATGTAATATGTACATACTGTATGTACCTGAAACATAAATGTCAATCTTGTACTCGCAGTAGTGACAACCGTAGTATCTCTAAGTAGTCTGTGGTGACAACTCGATCAACGAGGTAGATAATGATATTACTAATAGGTCTACCTAAGAAATTGCCGTTATGTATGAAAAAATTGAAACAAATTCTTGCCATGTACTTTTTATTTGTATTAACCGGAGTAATCCACCTATACAATCAATGCATCTTTGAAATCAGCTGGATGGGAGGCAACCAATTCTTCAAAAGGATTTTGTACTGGCTCTCGGGAATTTAATTTTATTTCAGCCAAGAAGTTATCCAAATTCTGAAAAAAGGAGTAGTCTGCAGGCGCAAGGTCTGGTGAGTAGGGCGGATGATGGAGAGCTTCAAACCCCAGTTCTTGCAACTTAGAGACGGTCTGCTGTGCAGTATGAGGTTGCGCGTTGTTTTGCAGGAGCAGCGAAGACGAGCAATTGACTAATGCTGGTTGGAGATGTGCCAGCTTCTCCACCATTATGTTCAGTTCTTCACAGAACAAATCTGCAGTATTCTCACCCCGTTTGTTAGGAAGCTGTGATGAATGACACCGGGACTAGACCTCCAAACAGTAACCATCACCATCCAACTAACTTGCTGAGAGCTTATGGTTAAACAGATGAAAAATTGATATTTTTCATCGCAGATAACAATGCAATTCAATATTCCTTCATTTGTGTCTATTGACCAGTGCAAGGCACGTCTCGACGCATACTTCACACTGGCGATCACTAAGTTCGTGGGGCAACCATTTGTCAAGTTTACCTATGGACTAATATTGTTTTGATGTTAACGTCGAACGCTGCTGCTAATTCAGCAGTAGATTATGTATCATGAGCTTCCACAGTCGTCTTAAATTTGACATTTTCGACCTAAGTCTTCGGACCACTGCAAGGTTCATTTTTCAGGTCGTAATTTCTAGAACGGAAGCGAGCAAAACATAACAGATGATGCGTTGGTTTGTATTGTTAGCTCCGTATTCGTGGAGATGTTGCGTGTCGCTTATGCCGCGTTGCTGCCATAACGGCACTCACATCCTAATTTCGAATTCACAATTTTAACGTATCTATCCATGATGATGAAAAGGATTGAAATGCGATGAAAATGTAACACTAATCAATAAACAAACGACTACTTTTGGAAAAAAATCAACGATATCAAAATAAAATTAATTTGAAATAATAATTCTCAGCCAAACTAAAATTATTTTGATTTGAAATGGCCAGTACTGCAGAACGGGCATTGTATTGGTGAAGACCTAATATAACTCCGAAATATTTCGAAAGGTTTTGTATTTTGTCAAGATAAGGCGGCGGATCAAAATATGTACCTGTACAATATGCATCCGCTAACACCATGAATTCCTCAAAGTACCTTCAATATCCGGATTAAACAACTTTTTGGTTAGTTTCCTATTCATCCTGTATCAATCGTTTTGATTGTACTTACATACTGAACAGTTGTACTCAAAGACAATAATATGTAGTATCAGATACTCTGACGAGATGTCACTAATGATGTATGTAAATCTTCTTTGTTCCTATCATTTCGAATCCGTGGAACGCTTCACGCGAGGCGGTGTAATATCTAACATTTAGAAATTTCATATTGCCGTTTGTTTAATGGTGCACTCTACTTTTTGATCCTGTCTAATTTGCTATCAAAGCTATTAAGGTTTTATTAGAACCTCATTACAAAGTCGAGTATATTAGACACTAAATGCTTCAGTGGCCAGGTAAGGTTATTAATTAAATTCACATTACTAATTGACAAGTTGAAGTACATAAGCTGGACGCGGTGCAGCTGTAGACATTGTGTGGACAGCTCCGATACAATTCCAAAACCAACAATGAAATCCATGGTAAGTTCTTTTTGTCATCATATCAACTACAAAGGCATCCACTGCTAAACATAGGAAAACCTATGACTTATAACTCAACCGTAGTAACTGGATGCAAGTCGTGGACTATGTAAATCCCTTCACATCCCAAATTTATCCTGATTTATTACTCTAGATTGTTGATTTTATAGATTATTGTCTAATTCTGTATTGTTTCTTCCAACAGATTATTTTCGCAGTTCTGGCCTTTCTGGCGGTCGCCAGCGCCAAGCTCATCGGTGACTTAGAAGCTGGTCTTAGTGAAATAGGAGCTGGTCTTGGAGCCGACTTTGGCAAGATTGGGGCTGAACTTGGAGCCGGAGTTGAAGGTACACACCAACATTTGATTTCCATTAACTAACCCAACCTCTTGGGAATGGTGCCAATAATATACCACTAATTAGAACTGTGTAGAAACCTTCGTCATCATCCTCCCGAGGGTGTTGTTGGTCGATCCACGATCGTGTTAAGCAAAGAAATTCAATGAAATACTTATGATGTTATTTCAAAAAAACAAAATGTTTAATATTTTATTCTATTCCAGGTATCGAAGCTGGTCTTGTCCTCGGTGGGCATGGTAACAGTATTGCCGGCCTGGGCGGTCGTGGTGGCAGATACTAGGCCTACTTAAAAGACCTCATCGAGAAGTAACGGAAACAACATTCTGTTTGTAAGACAAATAAATGTTTTGACTTGACTACTTCAACATTATTTTTGTTGTACTGAATTTTTCTGCAGCGTATTTAACTAATTTGTAATAGATCAGAAAACGGAAGGCTCTCACATTTGCTTTCTTAGAGATATTATTTGAAATCAATTGGTCTCCCTGAAAATGATGGCGAATCAGTCGAGGGTTATCCAAATTATTAGCAGTTAAACTTACTTTGAGCATTTTTTAAGAAATGACTTACATGAAAAAGACTAAATAGAATGATTATTTACTAAAACGGTAATCCATAGATATCCGGAAACGACCAAATATATAAATAAAACCGTAATTTTCCGAAAATAATCGAAAGGATAAAAATTACAGACCTTTTTATTTTATTATGGTATAAGCCGGTAAACGAGCAGACAGTCTCTAGAGGAGTTACAAGTGCGTTGCAGACATTTTAAGGTTTAGGGATTCGAGGACTTTTTTTGGGAGCAGCTCGCCACAACCTCTCAAAATCTCTGCAACTCCTGTGCACCAGGATCTACAGTAGATACATCCATGAAAACACCGGAACACTGAAGTTCGGCGCGTCCCAGGGACATGAATAACTGTCTTGGTTCCCGTAACAAAGTGTATCAGAAAACATTTTAAGAGGCGACGAAAAAAAAGACCGCCTCGTTGACCGAGTGGACGCAAGTGCGACCACAATACATGGGGTCACGGGTTCGATTCCCAGGTCGGGTAAAGTATTATTGGGTTCTCAAATTCAGTAGTAGCCGGGTCTGGAATTGTGCCCGCTATATGGCAATAGGCTCACCCCCTATTACATAGGACTCATAACATAAAATAGTGAAAAGTGGGTGTCACATTGTACAGTGGCCATTAAGTGCTGTAATGTGTACCTCTGCCTACCCCTTCGGGAATAAAAGGCGTGATGTTATTATTTTTTATTTTTTTTATTTGGGAACACAAACAGTGACACATTACCTGATACATTATGACACAATACATAGGTAGTTGGGTAGTTCGAACAAATGTGTAACCAACGGCGTTTTACACAGAATATAAATTAAATCATAAACACCATCACACAAACTTATATACCTAACTAATAAAATATAAAAAGAAAACATAAATAACATTACGCCTTTTGATCCCTGAGGGGAAAGGCAAAAGTATGATAATTATATATAATTTTATTGTGGTTTAGGGAACAGAGAGTATAGTTCCCTAAGATCGGAAAAGGAGGATCCTCCGACCAGGCGAGGTGATCGTGCCTGGCGGGCTTTCTGCCCAACAGTTGTTCGTCGGGATTTTCTATCCGTGTTTATTCGCTTGTAAACTTTGCATGTGCGATGTAGGATTCTTGTGACGTCATCCGTTGACATGTGGCATGCGTCGCCAGTGGTTATATGGTTCAGAAAAGAAAAAAAAACATGTTGAGACTTTACAAATTAAATGAAATGTTATGTTGTGTTAAGGAAAAAAACGATAGTTTCCACTTCCCTCGGTGAATTACTGCAGTAGACAGAATAAATTAAAACTAAAGGCACAAAAAGAGACTGTACAACTGGGAGAAGCCCAGTCGCCAAGCACCACGGACTAAAAACTAAGTGGGTCCTATGTGTGAGCTGTTTTATACTTGCTTCTATATAATAGGTATTCTAAAAGCGCCTAACCGCACGGAAATTTTTATTTTCTAGATTCCACAAGGTCCATATAATAAGCTACACCTGACGAAACAATTAAATTATTTAACATCGTGTTACGCTCTTATTGCCAGAGATCACACTCCCAGAGTAAGTGATGGGCGGACTGCTCGCATTGCAACTCCACTGTCGAACATGGGATTTGAGGACTGCAAATTTAGAAATATAGGAGGGGGAGTTTAGCATTCGAGAACCTCACTCACACAGCGAAACGCAACACAATCGTTGTTTTACGTCGGTTTTCAGTGAGGCCTTGGCATCACGTCGGTCAATCCGGCCCATTCGTACCGAAGCATGGTTCTCCCACCCATAAATTCAATTATACAAAATTATGTCGAAATTTTAATAATGTGGAACTTAAGATGTTCTTGTTTACGTTTGTGGCTGCTCACCACTCTCTCAGTAACTCCTCGCCAGTTAAGTCATTCTGTCCAGTGGCGCCATCTCGATTTTGATCCTGGCACTATTTCCACTCTTCTACGTGCGTATGCAAATAAAATAACACAGTTTCAACGCCATCTGCCGGGTGCATATCAATATTACGTCAAAAAAATTTAATGGAAGGTACACGTACACAAAATGAAACCACATTCATCTGAATTTTACAATCTATTACTATTTAACTATTAAATGAACATCTACATAAGATCACGAAGGGGTACAATGTAACACCCATTTTTCACTTTTTACTTATGACTCCCATGTAATAGGTGAGCCTATTGCCACATACCGGACACAATTGCAGACCTGTGCTACTACTGAATATTAAAAACCCAGTAATACTTTGCCTGACCCGGCAATCGAACCCGAGACCCTTTACGCTGTGTTCGCAAAATGTCAATCTTCTAGTCACAATAATGTCAACTCGATGAACGAGGTCGGTAATAATATGTATTATTATTATACTATTATACCGAAATATTTTGGAAGATTCTGTAGTTTCTCAGAATAAGGGATAAGGCATTTGAAATAAATATGTGCCTGTGCAATATGCATCAATTCTTCAAAATACCATCAATATCTTAACTGAATTAGCAGCAGCTTTCGACGCCAGCTTCAATATTGGTTCATTTGCATCAAATTGGCAAGGTAAAAAAGCTTGACAAGTGGATGCACCACGAACTCACGAAGTACGCTTCAAGACATGTCTTGCACTGCTCAACAGACACAAATGAAGGAATTTGGAACTGCGTTGTCACCTGTGATGAAAAATGGATTCTGTTTCATAACTACAAGCGCTCAGAAAGTTGGTTGGATTCTGGTTCAGCAACTAAACAATTCCCTAAACGAAAACTTACTCCTAGAAAAGTGACAATACTATTAGTTGGTCTAAAGCCGGTGTGATTCATCACAGCTTCTTATAAAACGGGGTGAGCATTACTGCAGATGTAGACTGTGAAGAACTCAACACAATGGTGGAGAAGCTGGCACATTTCCAACCAGCATTGGTCAATCGCTCGTCTCCACTGCTCCTCCACGACAACGCGCGACCTCATAAGTACTGCACAGCAGACGGTCTCTAAGTTGCAAGAACTGGGATTGGAAGCTCTTCGTCACTCGTCCTACTCACCAGACATTGTGCCTACAGACTATTACTTTTTCTAGAATTTGGATAACTTCTTGGCGGAAAAAAATTAAATACCCGAGAGGCCTTTGAACAATTTGTTGCCACCCGTCCAGCTGATTTCTTTAAGAAGGGTCTAAATAAACTGCCACTGCGTTGAAAAAGATGCATGGGTGACAATTAATACAAGTTAAAAAGGTACACACCTATTATCTAACATATAGAGATTTCGCTTTGTCGGTTGTTTATGGTATACACAACTTAGTGAACCGGTCTTATTTGCTATCAAACCAATAAAGGTCTTATTAAAACCTCATTACAACGTCGAGTACATTAGACACTAAATGTTTCAGTGACCACTAGTGGACAGGTAAGGTTATTAATTAAATTCACATTACTAATTGACAAGTTGAAGTATATAAGCTGGACGCGGTGTAGCTGTGGACATTGTGTGAACAGCTCCGATACAATACCAACACCAACAATGAAATCCATGGTAAGTTCTTTTTGTCATCATATCAGCTACAAAGTCATCCACTGCTAAACATAGGTCTCTGACTTAAAACTCAACCACCTTATCACGATAAAGGCCGCAAGAAGTAACTGGATGCAAGTCGTGAACTATCTAAATCTCTTCACATCGGAAATGTATCCTGATTTATTACTCTAGTTTGTTGATTTTACAGACTATTTTCTAATTCTGTATTATTTCGATCTACAGATCATTTTCGCAGTTCTGGCTTTCCTGGCGGTCGCCAGCGCCAAGCCTTTCCTCGATGACTTAGGAGTTGGTCTTGGTGAATTAGGAGCTGGTCTTGGAGCCGGCCTTGGCAACATCGGGGCAGGACTTGGAGCCGGAGTTGAAGGTACCCACCAACATTTGATTTCCATTAATTAACCCAACCTCTTGGGAATGGTGACAATAATATACCACTAACTAGAGCTGTGTAGAAACCTTTGTCATCATCCTCCCGTGGGTGTCGTCGGTCGATCCACGGTCGTGCTAATAGTAAAGAAATACAATGTAATGATGTTATTTCATAAAATAAAATGTCTAATATTATGTTCTATTTCAGGTATCGGAGCTGGTCTTGGCCTCGGCGGGCATGGTGGCGGTATCGGAGGGTTGGGTGGTATTGCCGGCCTGGGCGGTCGTGGTGGCAGATACTAAGCCTACTTAAAAGATCTCATCAAGAAGTAACGGAAACAACATTTTATTTGTAAAATAAATAAATGTTTTGACTTGACTACTTCAGTATAATTTTTTGTTGTACTTAATATTCCTGCAACGTTTTTAACTAATTTGTAATAGATCAAAAAACAGGAAGGCTCTCACGTTTGCTTTATTAGAAATATTATTTGAGATCAATTGAACGCGAAAATGATAGCGCAATCAAACACCGGGCTAGCCAGATTATTAGCGGTTTAAACTGCCAAACACCAAGCGGTCACCGGTGACCGCAACCTATTGTTCTTTAATTGTGTCTATAAATACGGTACTCGACGAGTTAAACTTATTAGGTACTTAAAAAATATAACTTACATAAAAGAAGACTAAAGTAAAATAATGACTTATTCAAATTCAAATTAAATATCGAATAGTTACTAAAGTAGTACCCTATTATTTGTATTTGGGAACATGGGGAAATAAATTAATTAAAACCGTCATTTAACGAGAATAATTTCCAGGGTAAAGATGGCAGAACATCCCTTTGAAAAATACAAACTCTTGTTTATGGACCGCTAATCTCGGTAGTCGGTGGTCTCGTTTCATCGTTTGACAAAAAAGAGTTTGACAGCTTAGAAGTACTGTTGGTATATGATGCGATTTTGTAGAATTTTTGTTAAAAAACACTAATTGGAATGGGTTAATCACAATTTAAACAATGGATAACTTTTACTGCCGCTTCTGCGCCGAGCTCAAAAGCTCTGAAAAGCTCCTTAACCTACAGCACGACTCGGAAAAACACGAAGAAGTAGTTTTAAAACTTGCGTTTGTTAATGCTGTGTATGTGAACGTAACAAATAGCGATACATTGCCGAAAACTGTTTGTTTGATATGCTACAACAGCCTGAATAAAGCTTACGACTTCTTGGACGGTGTGAAGCGCGCACAAGACGTATTAACCAACATATTCACGAGAGGCGGCGACGACAACAAATGCGATGTGTCTGATGACGATAGATGCACAGCATTTGACGATTTCCTTTGTAATGAGGACTCTTCTGCTGTTAAATTGGAGGGTAACAAGTATGTGGAACCGCCTCAAATAGATATAAGTTTGGAAGTGAAGCACGAGTTGAAAGAAGAACCGGATTTAGAGGATCAGGCGTACGATGACTCTTTGAACGTGCAGGACATACTTGACGCGGCTATATGTAATGCCTCCTTCAACTCCAACGTCACTATATATGCTAAAGAGCTCTCAGACTTGAGTAAAAAGGTTGTAAAGTCATGGAAAGATTACCCATGGGTGTGTGGTTATTGTAACATCGAGTTTTTAAACATAGACATGTTGCGGTCCCACTGTAAGGTGGTGCACGGGAAGTGTTCTGCGTTCATGTGCATAGACTGTAAAGCTGGAAGGAATGAGGAGTTCACTAGCTTTGTTAAACATGTTCGGAAACATAAAAAGATATTAAGGTATGTATGTGTGATGAGATTATTATATTTCTTACAAACTACTATGGCATCGTTCCCCCACTCTACTCAGCTCCTATTGATCACAGTGTTATGTTTCATTTCTGTAGCATAGCCCTCTTCGATAAATGTATGTCTGACTGTCCAACACAAAAAGTATTATTCAATTGGAATTTGTCATTCTGAAGATATGATATGATAGTATAAAATATAAAACTTGATGTTACTAGTGACTCATCTATTTTAACCTGTAGAAATATTGTACCCTAAACTTGTTGATACGAAAGTAGTCTCTGAACTTGTTGATACTACGGGGATAAAAGGCATGATGTTATGTTATGTAATGTTTTTATGGATTAATCAATTCTGGACCAACTGCTCTGGTTAAGAAAAAAATGACGCTTTTTGATGAACCAAGTGTGATTGTACTGAAAATACAGTGTATTGTACTGGTAGTGGCAAATCCCACCAAAGGTGGCGCATTTAATAAGGATTCTGAATGGAATACAGTGTAGAACTTTCTCTTATTTTTTATTAACTAAAATTGCAGGTTATTCATGTGAATATACTGAGAAATATAGGACTGTTTTTTGTTGTTCTGTGCTCTCCTTTGTTTGTTTCTTGTTCCACTGCATAATAATCTACATATTGAATCAGCTAGCTTCAGTTATTAAGTGACTAAACTGTTATGACCTATTTTTTGATATTTCAAAGTAGCCTTCTGTGGGATCGTATGTCAATTCCCCCCATCCTTACTATCCTTACTAATATTATAAATCGGAAAGTGAGTTTGTTTGTTCCACTTTCACGCCGTAACTACTAAACCGATTGCTTTGAAATTTTACAGACGTAAAGTTAGAAGCCCGGATTAAATAATAGGGTACTTTTTATCCCGGAAAAATTTGATATTCCCGAGGGAAAACAAAAGTATTGGTATAGATGGCGCTGTGTGTATTGGTATATGTCACATTGACTTTTTATCCTTTTGTGACGCGAGCGAAGCTGCGCGTAAAAGCTAGTCAAATGTAAAAAAAATATTACCTAAATACAAGTGTGTCTCATCTCAAGTGCTTTTAATCGACATGTATCGTAATTACTATCGAAAATCCTTCCACTACTATCCTCTTAGGACCCTCTTCAGTCAATTCTAACGTTTGTATTGTAGTAGTGGTATTTATCTTCAAACAGATTTTATCCAATAAATATCGCTATGAAACAAGTTTGACCCAACTCCAGTGCTTATAATCAACTCATGTCTTTACTACTATCGAAAATTCTCGCGCCGAAACAATTTTGATTCAACTTATGTTGTAATCAATTTTTTTTAACTAAGTGTGGGAGAGCCATGCTTCGGCACGAATGGGCCTGCTCGACCGGAGTGATACCACGGCCTCACAGAAAAGCGACGTGAAGCAACGCTTGCGTTGTGTTTCGTCGTGTGAGTGAGGTTACCGGAGGCCCAATTACCCTCCCCTTCCCCAATGTCCCCAATTCCTGAAGCCCCAACGATCACCAAACTCCTAATCCCCAAAAGGCTGGTAACGCACTTGTAACGCCTCTGGTGTTCCAGGTGTCCATTGGCGACGCCGATTGCTAACCATCAGCTGATTAGTCTGCTCGTTTACCGGCTTATGCCATAAAAAACTACTATCAAAAACTTCACGAACCACCCTCAGCTAAGTCTACCGTTGGCAGTTGAGCAGTTGGCTCATAATTTATTTAAATTCCATAATACTGGCGCACTATTCAGGATATCGTAACCAAAAATACAGACGAAAACAAATAATTGTAGCAGCAAGAGCCAAAAGACTGGCACAGGTGTACTTTTTCCTGGATTTCACATAAGCCATTGTAATTTGAAAACTATATGACTTAGATTTTTTTTATATCTTTCTAATAACTGTTGAAATCTTGCCGATCACTTGGTGCTATTTGATCGTCGACTTCAGGGACACCCTGTATTCAATTTCCACTCAAATTTAAATAAGTATCTGTATAGAGTATAGATATTGACGATTGAATATTGATTTCCCAATTTCCAGGAACCACTGCTACTACTGCGACATGGAGCTAGACAAAACAGAGAAGTTAACAGCGCACATAAAGGAACACTTCGTCAAATCACAACTCCCGTGTCCGTTATGTGGAGAAATACTTAAAAACGAGGACTCACTCAAAATACACTTACAAGACTATAATATAACTAAACAGAAACGCAGACCGAGAAGAAAACCTGGAACCCCAATCACCATTGAAGATCTCACCTGTGGATTATGTAAGAAGGTTTATAAAAACCCCAACAGCCTTCGAGATCACATGAAACTACACACGATAGACAGGAAGAGAAATTACACTTGTGACCGATGCGGCAAGATGTTTTACAACAAAGGTACGCTCACATCCCACATCCTATCTCATGACAAAAACCGTCCACATGTATGTAGAATTTGTAATAAGTCTTTTTTGTACCCAAATATGTTGAGACGACACGTTGAGATGCATTCCGGAGTGAAACCGTTCTCTTGTGAACAGTGCGGTAGATGCTTTAGACTCCAATACCAGTTAAATGCCCATAAAATTATCCACACCGACTCCATGCCTTATGTATGTTCTTATTGCAATAAAGCGTTTAGATTTAAGCAGATTTTAAAGAATCATGAACGACAGCACACTGGTGCCAAGCCATATGCTTGTCAGCATTGCGGTATGGAGTTCACAAATTGGTCTAATTATAATAAGCATATGAAACGTAGACACAATACGGACACTTCGAAGAAAAAGATCACTCCGGAAGGTGTATTTCCTATCAATCCGGAGACCGGACAGATAATGCAGGTCCAGGATCCAGTTGGTACTGAAGAATGGAAGAGTAAGATCATGATTCCAGGAAAGAGGGGAAAGAAAAAGGTTATAAAACATGAGGACATTTAGCTAGGGATACATGTTCAGTTTGATAGTCGAAAAGTAACTTTAAAGCGGAGGCTATAAGAATAATTTTGCAATGGTTTTATTTATTAACTAAAACTGTTCTTTTTTATGTTTTTAATGAATAAATAATTGAATGGGCACACAACAAATCAAGTTACTATAATCTGCCAGAGATCTGCAATAGATTTCCAATCGTGTCATTTTGTTATAAAGATGAAAATATTGATAGCCATTTGAGTATACTGCAAATAGCATCTTATTGCTGTGAAATAAGGTTTATAATCACTGCCAATTCATGCCTGTTGTTAATATATTGTTCGTAAAGATGTACTTATTTTGTAGATGTTTATTAATGTTTGTTATGATACTCAAACACTGCTGGGCTGTATATTAATAGATTTCCAACCTTATGTTTTTGTAATAACATAAAAAATTGAATAATAAAACTTCAGACACATAGCTACCGATTTATGTCATAAAAAGTGTGTAAAATTGTATAAAATGTATTATTATGTTTTCGGCTTACTCATATAACTTTTTAACGAGGAACTCGGCTAGTGTCAAGCCATGCTATAGGCTCATATTCCTGAGCAGCATTCCGCGACCCGCGACGCGGCGACTGTCGCGCTGCTACATGCTCGCGAAATATTTAATATAAAATTAAAACATCACAAAATTATATTCACTAAGTTATTTATTTATTAGTAAAACAAAGAGACAAACGAATCTGTACTTACCAATATGTCTTTTTTGTAATGGGTTTTCAACTTTAGTTATGTTTTAATAAAGTTTAAAATCTATTAAAATTGATAATGTAAATAGGTTGGTGTACATTCAGCACAACTATTTACAAAGCAGGTAAGAAAAAAGCTTGACGCAGTACAGAGACATTGGTTGGGTACGGAACCTACCAATGGTTACAGATAATGTGGCTTGGTGAAAACTATATAATTTAGTATAGTAATAACTACTGTCTATACCGAGTCAATCTCTATTTTCTTACCCGTATAGTAAAAAATTCTTCACACTGCTGGGCCGGCTCGACCGAAGCTATACCACGGCCGAGCAGAAAAACCATAGTGAAAACACTACAACATTGTGAGTGAAGTTTCTGGAGGCCCAATCCTCCTCCAATCTCCAATCGTTACGTCCGGCAACGTACTTGTAACTCTCCATTTTTTTTCTTGAGGGAGGCAAATCATCCAATTATTTCTTCCGGTCCGGGTGAGGCGTGGGTGTCAGATTCTTACTGACTAAAACCCACCCTGGTGGCTTACTCTTGAATCCATTTCCGATTGATCGACATTGGTATTGTGGAATTTCGTACTCTTGAGTTGCAACACTAGCGCCCATTGCATCCGTATTGCGTGTATATTGAATGAACTAAATGGTATTCAGTTTGGCTTTATATTCCGTACCCTGAATGCTATTGTAACAGCTACGATTGTGGTTGTATAGTTTTGACATTGAATAGTTATTGTGATTTTATTGGATTGAAATTGCATTGACATTGAGATTGGTTTCAGGAGTAAACACCCTGATCCTACTTCTGCTTTGAACTGGATCCCTGGTAAACAACATTGTCCGCAGCTCTGGGTCGGGCAAGCCCCGTTGGGCTATTTTGTAAGATGTCTATTGGAACCCTCGAAGTAAGCTAGATCCCATTCTCGTCGCGGAGAACCTAACGGGTAACCGGGGCTCCGGCTCGACGTGCAAGAGTAGGAACGGGGTGGTTTTTTAGTCAGTAAGAGTCTGACACTCCCTTCCGCCTCACCCAGGCGGGAGCAGTCGTTCGATGATTTTCCCCCCTTAAAAAAAAATAAAATAAAAAAAGATCCGATTCTCGCCCGTCATTGGTCGAGTTTTTTTGACAACCAATAACATGACGGGCCGTGGTCGAGTTCACTTCAAGTGTAACTCCTGTAGTGTTGCGGCTGTCCATGAGCGGCGCTAACCGCTTACCTTCAGGGTGCTGACTCTTGAAACCAATGTCAATGCAATAAACTCTCAATAATTATTCAATGTCAAAACTATACAACCACAATCGTGGCTGTTAAAATAGCATTCAGAGTACGGAATATAAAGCCAAACTCAATACCATTTAGTTCATTCAATTTCCACTCAATACGGATGCAATGGGCGCTGGTGTTGCAGCTCAAGAGTACGAAATTTCACAATACCAATGTCGATTGATCTGAATTGGATTCAAGAATAAGCCCCCAGTTGATATGTGTGCTCGTTTGAACCACTTAAGACGCAATGAGCCCGTAGTAAATTAATTGATAGTATTATTATTTAAACTGTCAAACACCAAGCGGTCACCGGTGACCGCGACCTATTGTTCTTTAATTGTGTCTATAAAACCGGTACTCGACGAGTTAAATTAAAGTGATTTTATTTATGTAATAGTTTGTACAATAATAGTAATGTAAGATGCACAGCTTTGCAGTACGAAATGCAATATTATATTATATTTTATTATGAAATAAATAAATTAATGTATAGCACACGATTATGTGTAATAAATGAGTTATGTAAAATATCGTTCTTATTTTTTAGGTATATTAATTATACACTGTAAAGTCTATTTCGTTTTCGTCCCGAAGTAAAATGGTTGTTTTGGTAACACAGTAATTTTACAAAAAGATAAACAACAACAGGGATAAATATTAATAATGGTCTGGAATAACGCAGAATATTTGTATTCCACGGTAACAAAAGATAGTCAAACAATAAGAGCAAAGTTTTGCCTCCCAGACTCAGTACTTAGAAGTTTTCGAAAATCAAAAACAAAATACACATTGCCTGGCTCAGGATCGAACTAAAGGCTCAGCAGTCTCACTTACGGCCACGATTCTTGTACTGCCTGGGGCAGCGCAGTCACCTAAGACCACTGTAAGTACAAGAGTCGGGTAAAGTACGATAGATCGGTACTACTGGGTTGTAGTCCCCAGAAATCTCAGTAATATTCAGATAGTTCAATATATTATAGTTTGTTTACAAAACAAATTCGTACTAAGCCATCAGAATCCCATCCTCTATAGGAGTTGATTACTACTACTACTACTACTGCTAAGATATTTGTCATAATTCTGGGACTCCTAATATTCAGCTGTTGCACGTAGGACGAATTCACCAACGAGACAATTTTATTTTCATTCTCAACGTATTCCTTTGTTATTATCGAGTCTGTTCCCTTAGCTGCCTTAGCACATCCCTTAAACTAGTTGCTAGTTCTGTGCCCATTACCTATACATGTATTTTGTTTTCCGGTTTTTACTAAAAATAAACTAAATGCTTCTGGTGGGTTAGCAGATTATTAAATTCATTTCAAGTAACGTGAATATGTATTCAAGTGTGAATCAATGATCGATATGGAATAAAAATGATCGTTCCATTTCACACGAAGTTTTTTTCGTACATTAAACATTTTGACAGCACAACACAATGTCATTAATGTCATCCTTTCATCTGTCAAACATTCACAAAAACTACGAAAGTGGCTTGAATTCGTAAAAAATGACAATCTTTGTCTATATAAATAAATAACAACATTGTTTTGCGATGGATTTCAATGAAAATGTATATTGCAGGCTCTGTGCCGAGTTAAAGCCTCACAACAAACTGCTAAATCTTCAAAATGACGCGGAAAAACATCTTGATATTGTCAATAAATTGTCTCGATTCAATGTGCAAATGGATTTCAACGACGAAATATTACCAAAAACAACTTGTTTCTCTTGTGTTAATGCGTTAAATAATGCCTTTGATTTCGTGACTGGAGTAGAGCTGGCTCAATCAACTCTAAACGATGTTATTTTAAAGAAACAAATAAAAAAAGAGGAGACACTATCAGACACAGAAACCTATGTAATTTATGAACCTCCAGAGACAGAAACTTATGAATCAGATATTACTATTAAAGTTGAATCAGAGAACCAGCAGTCTACTAGCCAAACAGAAGTAAATGAAAGTACAATTACAGTTAGAAATAAAAAAGTAAAGAAAATGTGCTATAGTTTAGATGCATTACCTTTATCCGAGTTAAAATTATCTTGGGAAAACTTTACCTGGCAGTGTGGATTTTGTGAAACTCAGTTCCCTACTATAGATGAGTTACAAAGTCATTCTATGCAGTACCACAGCGTCTGTAATGCATTTTACTGCATGGACTGCAAAACGAGGAAGCTACGTCTCGACAACTTCTTAGTGCATGTAAAACGGCATCGAAATTATTTAAAATTCTCTTGTTACAAATGTACCATAAAATTCCCAAGATTATTTGAGGCCAACAAACACAAAGATGCACATAAAACATCGGATCACATATGTTCTGGATGCAACATGTGTTTCGAAAATGAGGAGGAATTAAATAAACATGTCATAACTTACCTGAAAGGGTTACGAGGTGAACTGTCACCTGAACTGAAGTTGAACAGTGACAGTCTAACTTGCACAATTTGTGAGAGAACATGCAAAAGTAAAAATAGCTTGTCCTCGCACATGCTAACACATACAGACAGAAACAAAACCTACACTTGTGAGATTTGCGGTAAAGGTTTCTTCCGTAAAGGGAGTTTAGCCAATCACATGATTCAACATTCGGATGCAAGACCACATCAATGTGAAATATGTAAGTTAACTTTTAAAACTCCAAGGTGTTTACGTAATCATGCTGGTGTACACGATGGAGGGAAACCGTATTCTTGTGACAAATGTGGACGATGCTTTAGACTAAAATCTCAGTTAAGGAACCACTTGATAGTTCACACTGACTCACTACCTTATTTGTGTACGTACTGTAGTAAACGTTTCCGTTTCAAATCAATACTCAATCAACATGTACGCCAACACACTGGGGTTAAACCATATTCTTGTACTATTTGTCAAAGAGACTTTACAAACTGGCCTAATTTTAACAAGCACATGAAACGTAGACATGGTACGGACATGGCAAAGAAGAAACATACCTCGGTAGGTACATATCCTATTGACCCTGTGACGGGACAGATTATGTATCCAGAGGAGGAGAAACTGAATGAATGGAAGAAGAAAATGATGGATTACAAAAGAGTAAGAAAACCGAGGGATAACATTAAGCCAACTGACTTACAAACTGCAAATAATGAAGTAAGTTTAATAAATAATCAGATAGAAAATTGATGTAGAATTAGATATTATCTGTGTTAGTAAGTTTTTCCTTATTGAAATATAAAGATCCGGGTCTGCAAAAAATAGATAATATATACGTGGTTATACTTATTGTGGTGCTTTATGTGCAATTTAGTTAAAGAAATGCAAATTAATGCAATTAAATTAAAGTGAGTTTGTAAAAATATTGAACTTAGTTTATTGTCTACTGTTATTGTAGTACTGTTTAACTTTTAGCAATCATTCCAGTTTTTATTTATCTCTTTATTGTACCAGAAATTAAAATATTTTTAAATTAGTATGAAAAACACGAATTCTTATCGCCTCTAAGGGTACTCTATTATGCGTTACGTAACAATGATACTCAACCAGTTTCAAGTTGAACCAGGAGCCCATAATCTTACGCAGCTTGTGCAACAATCAATGTAGCTAGTGTATTATAGCATTATTATTTTTCCCTTAATTTTATTGTAATAAAATCGGGAACCTGTTGCCTGTTGAGTTGAAAAGATTCTTTTCTATTCTGTATTTTTGTAAACCAATAATAATATCTAGTTCTATTAAGCTCAGTCTTCTGAACTAAGCAATGCATGTATTTCAGAATGCAGTCAAAATAAAGTAGCAGCTACACTTTATTTATTTTCCTATTTTAGCGCAACTGTATCTGTATTTAAAGTTTTTTTAATTAAGAAATGCAAATAAGTGTTGTTTCGTGGTGCAATACTTAAATTGTTAAATCATAGTACGTACTTATAAATGTTCTAAATGTTACTTAATAAATGTTTAAAAATACCAAAATGGTTTTGTTTGATTTGCTGCGTCCCGCATCTGGTCAAAAAGTTCGAAACCAGAATTTGTGATTTCGAAAGTATAATGATAATTTGGTGGTTTTTGTTACACCGAACTTTTGACAAGTTTTGAACGAAGTGAGAACGTGAGACGAAAAAGTGAGACGTTAGGTATATAGTTACACCTATGTCCAAGTGTCCACCCTTTCGAGTATTAAAAAGCGTGTCTATAGTCTACAGATGTCTATTTATTACGTAATAAAGTTATCCAAAATAATACGTGTATTCTGGAGAGTATATATAAACTAATATAAAAATGAATCGCCGAATGTGTTGCTAAGCGCAAATCTCGAGGCCAGCTGAGCTGAACAGATTTTGCTAACTCTTATAATTCTTTCTTCCCAATGAGTCAATGACTGCCTCGTTGGCCCAGTGGTCGCAAGTGCGACTGCCGGGCAAAGTATTACTGGGTTTTTTAAAAATTCTCAGTAGTATCACGGAGTCTGGAATTGTGCCCGGTATATGGCAATAGGCTCACCCCCTATTGCATAGGACTCGTAACATAAATAGTGAAAAGTGGGTGTTACAGTGTACCTACAGTGGCATAATGTGCACCTTTGCCTACTCCTTCGGGGATAAAGTGATGTTATGTTAGGTCTTTCTCCTCAAGAGAAACCTTGTTCTAACAATAACAGAACCTGCGAGAAAGTACAGTAAAATTTCTGAAACAAAGTTTGCGGTGTCCGTACATAGGATACATAAATATAACTTAGTATTATTTAGAAATTTTAAAATTAATGACGAGAAATCAAAGAAAAAACTGCCTTTATGCATGCACCTGCATGCACTGCTCATGAGCAGTGAACTAACAATACGTAATCTGTGATGAATCTGTGGTCGAAACTCGAAATGTGTCAAAAAAACAAAAAAATAAAACTGTTTTTGTCAGGGTTGTCAGGCATTGTCAGGTGACAGTTTGACAGATCCATAAAAGTTTTGTTGATTGTTATTGTTTCCTTCGATCATTTTTATTTAATCACATTGTAGCGTTTCTGACGAAAGCAGCGAAACAAAACAATATAGATAAATAAGCAAAATATATTATTAATATTACCTGATAAACAACACGTAAGCAAAATATATTATTAATATTACCTGATAAACACACATTGGTTTGATGTGATGATCTGCGAGTGAACAAATTAAATCACAAACAAATTTGATCCGTGAATCACATTTTAGACAGATCTCCATCTTCTTAACACCCAACAATGAACACAACAACGTGGTACTGCCGGCTCTGCGCGGGATTAACATTGCGCGCCAAATTAGTAAACTTACAGACTGATGAGGAATTATGTGAAGAAGTTATCAAAAAACTGTCCAGGTTCCATATAACAATGGACTTCCAGGATAACATTTTACCTAAAACCGTGTGCGATGTCTGCATTAAGTCTTTGGATCACGCATTTAAGTTTATTTGCGCGGTCGATGAAGCCCAGGGCTTTCTAAGCGATTTTGTTTTGGTGAAATGTAGTGAGAGTGATTTAGAACAAGATGCCATCTCTTATGAACTGGTTGATACCGATAACTGTGATCCTATGGAAATAAGTGTCAAAGATTGTTATTCAAATGACCAAGTTAAACTTAAAGTTGATAATGGGGATGACTGTATTAATTATATTATTAAAAAAGAACTTGAGATTGCGGGTTTTGAGCCTCTTGTTACTGATACTTGTAGTACAATTGATCATAAGGTCACCGAAATTGAAGATATTAAGTCAAGTATACCAGTGAATAACAATCCAGATAATAATATTGAAAATAATACTATTATTGTTACTACACATGAAGAAGTAACAAATCATGATGTTCATGCCATAAACCAAGATGAAAAAACTAGTATAAATGCCAGTGCAACCCTCGAAGACCAAAAGAATACAGTTAAAAAGAAAAATACTAAGAAAATGAAATTTAAGACACCAACACAGACTAAGAAAACTACTGAAGCAAAGAATGTTCCAAACACTGGAAACTATACAGAAAATGAAGTCAATGAATTGATTAAAAACTTAGACTATGTGCCTGAACAGTACATTACAAAGACTTGGCAGGATTACCTCTGGCAATGTTCTCAATGTGGAACTCAATTCACAAATATGGAGGACCTCCAGAAACACTCCACGGAGTTCCATAACAGCTGTAGCTCCTACAAATGTGCTGACTGTAGCAGCCGGACTTCAAATCTCAAGATTTTCCTGAATCACATTCAGGGACATCACCACAAATACCTGCGCTACTCATGTTACAAGTGTTACAAGATATTCCCTAATCCGAGTGACGTATTGAAACACAGAAATAAAACCCACAGGTTCCCCAACATGTGCAAAGGGTGCTACAGCAATTTCCCCACTAAGGAACTATTAAAGGAACATACAGACAAATATTACAAAAAATTAGTAAATAATAAAAAGTACAAAAATTTAAGAATAGATAATTCCACATGTAGAATATGCCATAAAAGTTTCAAGAACTATGCAACCTACAAAAATCATTTTATTAGTCATCATACAGAGCAAAGTTCCAATATTATTTGTGATATATGTGGTAAAAGTTTTAAAATCAGAGGAAGTTTTACTAGTCATGTCGCAATACATACAAATTTGAATAAATTTCAGTGTGACATTTGTGACCGACATTTTAAAAGTCGACATGGTCTAAACTATCATAAAACCACGTACCACAACACGGACATGGGCGCGTCATTTATTTGTGATATCTGCGGAAAACGATTTCAAGAAAAGCAGAGAATTAGAGACCATATGATAATCCACACAGATAAACTTTCACATCCTTGTACTATGTGCGATAAAAGGTTTCGTAGAAGATCAAATTTGAAGAACCATATGGTACAGCATACTGGCGCGAGACCATATTCTTGTAATATATGCTTTAAAGACTTTTCGAACCACTCCAATCGGAACAAACATGTGAGACGGAAACACGGTATTGAATTGGCAAGAAAGAGACGTCAGAAAACAGAGGCCAAGCAAGTAAAAGTCACAGAAGCAGCAAATAATAATATTGAAGACCAGACGAATAATATAGCTATAGGAAAAGTAAATTATCTAATAACTGAATGAGATCAGTTATTAGATAATTTACTTTATAGAGGTTTCAAAAAATGCAGCGTCGATGAAAATCATCCATGATTCCATGAATAATATAATAGACCATAACTAAGGGGTCACAAGCACGCTATCAGTTCTCGCCAAAACCATAACCGAACGGGCCAGGAGCCCGCAGTATATTACAATAAAATTTTGTAAGGCAGGGGTGGGGCGGGATACTAACTGATTTATTGTTTTGTTACCAATGAAAGATAAAATAATACCAAGGAATTATATTTACGGGAATTACAAGTAAACCCTTTGAAAGAAAGACCTTTGAAAAACAATAATAATTGATTTTGGGAGATTCTATGTGATTGGTTTTTGCTCCACACATTTTTGGGCATTGTCCTTTTTAGCTGTATGGAGTTTCTGTCTAAAAGATCGATTCAGAGATTTTGGATTACCTATGATCTGTTATTCAGCAGCTTCGGTTTTTCTCTGACTGCCTCGTTAACAGAGTGGTCGCGAGTGCGACTGCCGGGCAAGGGGTCTTGGGTTCGATTCCCGGGTCGGGCAAAGTATTAATGGTTTTTTTTAATTCTCAGTAGTAGTACGGACTCTGGAATTGGGCCCAGTATATGGCAAAGTTCTCTATTACATGGGACTCATAACATACAATAGTGAAAAGTGGGTGTTACATTGTACAGTGGCATTACCGAAATGCCGTAATGTGCACCTCTGCCTACCCCTTCGCGGATAAAAGGCATGATGTTATGTAGCTCCTTTTGGGTCAATTCGGTTATTTATTTCCACCGTAAATAGGTACTCCGGAACGACAAAAGTTGCCTATTTGTGCAGATGTATATCATCGTCATTATCATATCAGCCATAATAGGACGCCTGCTGAACATAGGCCTCCCCCAATGACTTCCAGATAGGCCGTTTGGAAACGACCTGCGTCCAGTGGACTTATGTAGTTAGGTACTGGTAAATTCACCTACCCAACTACCTACAAAATTCTTTAAGCACCGTTATAGCATAAATTGTGGCCGTACCTATGCAGGTACATACCTACTGTTTAACTTTTTTTTTGGGGTTTTGGTAAGAAATA